TAAGCTATGTATGTAGAAATCACCTCCCCAGAATTATAGCTTTATAGCCACTCGGGAGACTCCTTCATTTCTCTCTCCTCTCTCCTCTCTCTAAGAGAAACCAGGCCACTCAATGTCCTCGGACTTTCAAGTGTTTCCCAAAGGATGTGTGAAGAAAACTGGGAATTCAGAGGCTGGCAGAGATAGGGATTTCAGGACTTAATGTGACATCTACCCCACATCCAGAATCCTCAGCATTGGGATTTAAGAAATCCACACATGTCCTTTTCATTGTGTCCTTCAAATGCCATACATGTTTTAGTTTACCCCAGGGATCAATTGTTCAACTTATGAATTCCAATTACATTTTTGTCTTGTTTCTTTAGGGAAAGTTCCGAGGAAGGAGAACATCAATAAATTTCTTAATAGCCATGTACGTAAGAGTCAATTTTTTGTCTTAAAACTACATTATTTTTACATCATTGATCAGTTTGTGTCAGATTTACAATGAAGAACATTTTTTTTTCATACAATGTAATACAATAGTGAATGAGTACTAGAAAGGAAATATTTATCCTAATATTTCATAGCCCTGCTATTACTGTAGAGATGGTAGTATCCTAACAGGAGCACATAAAAATATGTTTGGAATTGGGGGAAACTTTCAAGAGGAAATATGATTTAAGCTAAAACTGGAACAATGAGAATGGTATAAATATGATGGCTCTAAGCTGGATAGAGTTTAGTTCCAAACAGAGAAAAAATGTACACAGGTCAAAAGCAAGAAAAATGAAGATGATTGTGTTGTAGCCTCTCTAGGCTGAGCAGGTCCACTTGGGGTGCAGGTAGATGGAAGAAGATGCATGGAACCTTGGGAATGCTTGACATGCCTTTATTCGGGAGAGTCACACAGGCCACAAACTCATGTCCAAGTTGGCACCCCAACTTCCCACCTGGTCCAAAGCTGCTACCCTTTTAATACTAGTCCTAAACAAAGCAGGCTACAGGCCATAAAGTGAAGTAACTATCATGAGCTGCACAAGGGAACCTACTCAAGGCTACAGGGCAGTTTATCACACCCCAGTTCAAGGCCGGGAGACTCAAGCTCAAGGCTGTGAGAACACTGCTTTATCAGACTCCTTCAAGGATGTGAGAAGCTGCTCCCTCCAGTTACCCACACATCTGGGTGAGGGAGCCAGACTGCCTCCACTTACCCTACAACAATAAATTTTTAAAAAATGGTACACCTTAAAAAAACATTTGGGAAGAATTGACATGTAATGAATCTATGGAAGCAGATTAATATAGATGCAAATCATGTAAGAAGTTAGTCTTTATCCTAAGAGCAATGAGTATGAAGCAAGGGGGAGGGAGTCACCATCAGATAATCAGTTATAAATTTGCTGTGGTTAAAGTATAAGAACAAGTTGGAAAGGCCAAAGCATGAGTGATTAGAGTATATGATACAATCATAATAACCTAGGTGAGAAATTGTAAAGGTATGGTTGTGATGAGATGTTGTTAGTAGGGTTAAATAGAATTGGCTGAGACTTCTATAATTTAGATGAGAAGTTTGTGACTTGAGTAGAGATAATAGTGGATGATGGTACCTGCATTTCTGATTTCACCTGAGTGCAGGGCAGGTCCATTTATTCTGATAGAGAGAGCAGAAAGAGAATGACTCTATTACGTAATCGAGGATTATTTGTTGTTTGCCCCTTTTGCAGTAAGCATTGTTTTGCACTGTAGATTTGGAAAAAGAATAAAGGGAACACATTCAATTTAGGGTGTTCTGTGTTTGTGAGTAGTTAAGTAGAAAAATCTCTTGGGGAGTTATATATGTGTGCCTTGAGTTTAGAAAACAATATGAGAGCAGAAGAGATTTGAGAATGATCAGTAATCAGATTAAATTAGATCAGATTGGAAACTTTGTTTCAAGTTACTAAAATTGGTTGTTAAGAGCATGGGCTCTGGAGCCAGCCTGCTTGAGTGTGAACTTGAACTCTACTCCTTACAGGTTCAGTGCCTTTATACACTCAGTACTTTAGCTTCTTCATCTGTAAAATAGATATGATAAAAGTTGTTGAAAGGGTTATTGTTGGGATTAAATAAATACTGCTAAGAATGATGATTAATATTTTATTAATTAATTTATAGAAGTGTTGGCACAAGGCATGGACAATGTTAAGAGCTTAATCAGGGATAATTTTGCTTTGTTTTGTTATGTTTTCTCAGAAAAGTATAGAAGAAGGAAATGTCTAGGTACATTTAAAAGAAGCAGAAAAAGAAGAGATTGACATGAGAGTTTCTAAAGGACTGAATAATAAAATGTTACTTATTATTTAATGATAAATTAAGACAAGAAAGAATAAAAAATAAAAGTGTCAGTGGCCTGGAGGCCCTGGTGTTGTAGGGGAATTCTATGGTGGGAGTAACTGATAGAGAAAGCAAGAAGAAATATAATAATTTTCAAAGCTATTTAAAAGCTCTAATAATATTATTCTTTATTTTAAATTACAGCTTACATTCGGTATTATTTTGTTTTAGTTTCAAATGTACATCATAATATTATTCTTATTCGTTGACTATTTCATCATATAAAAAGATCATCATATATTTAATAATTTTCTACTGGCTGGATATTCTCCTCTCATAACTATTTTGGTAGTTCGAATTTTCCAAATAGTTGTCTTTGCTGATTTTAATGGTCATAATATAATTAATAGAACATATGAGTGCCAGAAATAATATGTATTTTCTCAACTCCTCAGAGAAAGATTCTTACCAGGTGCATTTTGTTATTCTGGATTGATAAATGCGATACCTGAGGCTCAGAGATTAAATGACTTGTTCAAGATCACAGAAGTGACAGAGGTATTTTTTTCCCCAAATGTCACATTCTTTATGCCATACTATGCAATTTTGTTTTATAAATTTTCTTTATTTTCTAAGTATAATTTAACACAAGGAAATTTACTATATCCAAAGGTTTAAAAATAATTACAACTTTTATCCTTTTTAAGTGTAATAGGATGTTTTTTATTTCTAATGTATACTCTATTAATTCTATCTAGAGACATTTGGGATTATATATATAGTGAAAGAATATAATATTATGCATAATAATATAATAATTAGAATTGATTCCATGTATCAAACTATCTTCTTACATATATTAGATGATTTTGTTTACATATTTTGATAATAATAAAATGAAGATCATTACTGTTACATCTTTTTAAAATAGTTTATAAATATAGAATTACCTTGTCTCTTTCATGATTTGTCTTTGTATTACTTTCCAGGTATCACTCAATTAGATACAAGTGTTATGTAGTGTTATGTTAGACTTAATCATGTTACCTGACAAATTTTTAAATGTATATTTTCTCTTCCTTTTACATTCGTCTATATATTCTTTTTAAACAATATTAAACTGACTGGATTACACATGTGAATTGGTCTACTTACTCTTCTTGTTCATTAAATCAGTGGAAAACTTAAAATGAAAAAAAGAAAGGAGGTGAATTAAGAATGAAATCAGACAGCAGCGGAAGGGATCTAAGTCAATAGTTTTCTAAGGTTATTTTGTAAATAACCATTTTCAATGGAGAAATAAATTCTTTTACAAGGGAACCTTTTGGTTATAGAATATAGGAAATCACTCCAGGGATCCCAGTAACATATAGGGAAATACGTCTCAAATTGAAAAAGAAAAGTCATGTACTAATTTTTAAATTTTTTTTTATTTTTTATCCTCACCCATCAACATGTTTTCATTGCTTTTAGAGAGAGAGGAAGGGAGAAAGAGAAACATCAATGTACCGATGTGAAACAGAGGCATCAATTGGTTGCCTTCCAAATGCACCCCAACTGGGGATGGAACCCACAACCTAGGTATGTGTCTCAGCCAGGATCAAATCTGCAACATTTTGGTTATGGGGTGATGCTCCTACCAATTGAGCCACATCAGCTGGGATTAGGCTAATTGTTGATTGAATATGTTGGCATTTCATTTGTCAAATTATTTTCTATAATTTTGCTTGATGTGCAAAATTCTCTCCAACCTTCCTTACTTCTTTATGAATGAATAAAACATAACTTTTCTTTATATATTGCTGATGTACAGATGCTGGTCTTGTTGACTTCCACAAGGAATAAAATGCATAAGAGGGTCTAAGTTAACTTCCCTTAAATATATTATGTATTTCAAAACTATAAAATTATAATATTTTCTGAAGGCAGTTTATTACAAAACCCTCATTCCAGAAAAAAAAGACAAAATGTTGCCTCAGCAAACATATTATTATAATGTGTTATAACTTGTATCACTTTTTTTATTAAGCGTATGTAGAGGTTGTGAATTGCAGAACACAAAACAAAATTTCAGGTGTGTAAGACATGGAACTTTATTGTAGGGGATTTGAAGTCTTCATCTCATTAGTTAGAAGACATTAGATATTATCAACTCAAAGTCTTCTCATTAATCCTTGGTGGGCATCTAATCATGCTGGCATCTCATGGCAGAAAGACCTCTCTTGGTCTGAATACCTTTCTCTCATCTATTTCTGATCTACTCTAAAGTCATGCAGTACCAAGGGGAGTTGTCTAAAACTCTTCATCACTTCTAATGCACTGTAAGGCATAGGGGAAATATTTGAACCGTTTTCCACACAGCACTAGGGACTCTTTCAAGTTATCTCATTTTCTTTCCTTTGTATAGACTGTGTAATAATTTAAAGAATCATTGAACTCAGGTAACCATTAAGCTAAGTGATTCTATCAGAATAGAAAATAACAGAAAAACAGATCCATCTACCAAGCAGTGCAAAAGAACTAAGGTCAATGTCATTGGTGACATGATAAGGCAAAGGGCTAAGAATCAGAGCAATGGCCCTGTATCTTTTAAATGATGGGGATGTCTGTTATTTTCGTTCTAAGACACATTGGCACCATATAGTTTATTTTACCAAGAAACTCATCTTTCAATGGGGAGAACCTCATGGGTAAATAGGTCAGGGTCAGGTTCTATGGAAAGAGAGAAGGCGATTCATACCAATCTGGATCTGCTTGGTTTTAATACTATAGATTATTGGATTCATAAATGGTGGGAAGAGAAAGTAGACATAGCTCATGATAATATGAACTACATGTGGCACATATTTTCCAAATCGATGAATGAGGGTCAGCCCAGTCACAGTGATATAAAAAACCAGAACACAGCTAATATGGGAAACACAAGTATTTAGAGCCTTTGCCTGCTCCTTACCTGAGGCAATTCCCATAACAGTCTTAAGGATTAGGATATAAGAGATGAGGATAAGTATCAAGTCCAAGAAGCCAGTTAATGAGACCAGGGCTATAGGATAGAGTCTATTGAAGGTAATATCAGCACAAGCTAGTTTGATCACATCTTGGTGCAAGCAGAAGGCATGGGAGAGGACATGGGATCTGCAGTAGGGGAATCCAGAGAGGGTGATGATTATGGGCACAATAAGTATAAATCCTCTCATTAGAACCCCCAGACCTATCTTCACTACCTTAGCATTGGTGAGAATGGAGGTGTATCTTAGGGGATTGCGGATGGCAATAAAACGATCATAGGCCATAACAAGCAAGACTCCAGACTCCACAATTGACAGTGAATGGATTAGATAAGCCTGGAAATAGCAGGCTCCATGGCTGATCTCCCTGTGATCCAACCACAGAACACCAAGTACAGTGGGCATCGTTGTCAAAGTCACACCAAGGTCTGTGGCTCCTAATATAGCCAGAAAGTAGTACATAGGCTCATGAAGAGTGTGGTCTTCTCTAATAAGAAAGAGGAGGACGCCATTGCCAAGGAGTATGGAGATATAAATAACAAAGAAGGCGGTGGAAATCCAAGGATGAAATATCTCCAGACCTGGGAAGCCAGTCAGTAGAAAAGGGGCAGCACTGATGTTGGACAACATGGTGGACCCCTGTGTTGAAACAAACAAAAACAAGGTCTCTCTAAATTAGCCTTGCCCAGTAGAAATACAATTTAAGTTACATATATGATTTTACATGTTCTAGTAGTGACATTAAAATAAGTAAAAAGGGAAGAGTAACAAATAATTTTAATAATGTATTTTATTTAATCTGTTATATCCAAAATATTATCATTTCAAATGTAATCAGTATAAAATCATGAATGATGTATTTTACATTTTATTGTACAAATGCTTGAAAATCCAGTATTTAGTTTACACTTGTAGAATATCTTAACCCAAGCTAAGCACAAGCTACAATATTGTATAACACACCTCTAGACTATAAAATTATTTTTGCCATATCATTAAAAAAATGAGAAATCAGTCTTTGAATAGAATTTTGCTCACTTTGTATCCCTCCATAAATTTCTCATCTCAGTTCTCTAATGCCAACATTTCCTGATTCCTCGTTATCTGGGTCAGAATCCTCTGCCAGTGCTTAACCGAATGTCTGACCTGATCACTACTGAAACCCAAGGTCCTAGTTCTAGTTCTGTCTTCTAGTTTCTTCTCATGCCTATTGTAACCATGTTTTACATTATAGGAAATAATTTGGATTCAAAACTTTCATTTTGGGTTCACCATTCATATTATGTGTCTACTGATTTAAAATAAATAGAAATTGATGCTACATATAAAAATGAGCATTAAGGGCACAAACTTCATGATCTTGTGAGGAACTGTTTTCCACACAGTGCTAGAAATTCTCTCAGGTTATCTCATCTTCCTTTCTTTGCATAGGCTCTGTAATAATTTAAGTATCATTGACCTCAGGTAACCATTAAACTAAATGATGCTACCTGAGTAGAAAATGACAGAAAAAAGCAAATCAATCTATCAAGCAGTGCAAAAAAACTAAGGTCAATGTCATTGGTGATGTGATGGGGCAAGGAGCAAAGAATCAGAGCAATGGCCCTGATTGAAAAAATAAGGTTTCTCTGAGTTATGACATATTCACTTGAATTGAATCTCACATTACAATACTCTCTGTGCATAAATCATTACGCAAATCCTCAGGACCACCCACCCACTCAGAGTCTCTTCAGGTACCGTCTGACTTCATGGGATTTTTATATTACTAAACTTTATGGAATTTACAACCCTCTGCTTCAAGGAAGTATTGCATTTGGCTTCAGAAGACAGAATGGAGAAAGTTGAAAATGACCCTTTTTTTTTATTTTCTTTTAAAATTGAATTTACAAGAACATGTATAAAGGATCCATGGACATGAACAATAGGATGAGAATAGGCTGTGAGAGTTGGGGGGAAGGGGATAGCAGCAAGGTAAAAACTGAGACAACTGTAGTTGAACAGTAAAGAGAAAAATATTGAATTTATTGGAATGACAATGGCTCACAAAACCATACAGATTTTAAGTGTACAACGCAATAAAACATCATCTGTACACTGTATCGTGTGTCTGTGGCTCCAAGTAAAAATCTCTTTCCATCCCCATTTCCCCCTTCGTTCCTCACCACAACCTACCTCTCACTTCCCATTCCAACTGGCTGTTGCTATTCTGTGTCGTTGCTTAATTCTTTCATCTTCTTTCATTCAGCTCCCTAACCATTCCCTTCTGACAGATGTCAGTCTGTTCCCTGTGTCCATGCCTTTGTTTCTGCTTTGTTCATCAGTTTATTTTGTTTATTGGGTTCCACATATAAGTAAGATCATATGGTACTTGTCTTTCTCTGACTTTCTTATTTCAATTAGCATAACACTCTCCAGGTCCATCCATGCAGTCACAAAAAGTAAGAGTTCTTTTTTTATGGCCAAGTTGTATTCCACCGTGTAAATGTACCACAGCTTTTTTTATCTACTCATCTGCTGATGGGCACTTGGGCTGTTTCTAGATCTTAGCTATTGTTAATAACACTATAACGACTGACATTTTTTTTCAATTCCTAGAATTTAACTAAAGGAAATCAGATTTGTCTCTATTACTCACTCATCTGTTATTTCTTGCTTTTTAAAATCTCATAGTTTGCTGCTAAATACAGGATATATATTGGTAAACAAGCAGATATTTACACACTTATTAGAAAGGTCAAAATCCCATTGTTATTGACAATAACAAATATAAGTGAGGATATGGAGCAACAGAAACCCTCAGACATTGCTGGTGAAAATGCAAAAGGATACTGTCACTTTGGAAGACATTTTGGCAGCTTCATACAAAACTCAACCTACTGTTACATGCATTATAACAATTGTGCTTCTTGGTATTTACCAAAGGGAGTTGAAAATTTATACCTACACATAATCTCAAAACTTGGAAGCAAACAAGATGTTCTTCATTAGATGAGTGGATAAACTGCGATACATGTAAACAGTGGAATATTATTCAGCACTAAAAAGAAATAAACTATCAAGCTAAGAAAAAGCATGAAGTAAACTTATTTGCATCTTATCAAGTGAAAGAAGCCAATGTGAAAAGATTCCATTTTGTATGATTCCAATTCTACTACATTCTAGAAAAGTTGGGAATCTGAGACTTATTGCTACAAGAAACTGACTTCTGCCAATGATATGAATGACTTAGGAAATGGATTCTTCTCTAGAGCCCTCATATAAGAGCCCAGAGCAACCATCACTTTCATTTTGGGCTTAAACAGAGGACCCAGTCAAGCCGACTAAACTTCTGACCTACAGAACTGTGCTTTTATAAACGAGGGCTGATTTAAGAAGCAGTTTGTGGTAATTCATTACAGAGTAATAGAAAAATACAGCAGTAGGGATTGCTATTATTCTTATCTTACTACTAATAATATACTAATATTTAGATTCTGTGAATTAGTTATGTCAATTAGCTGTTGCCACAAAATATCCCGTATGGGAAAACCCTACACAGCTTCAATGGCTATAACAATGAACACTTGTTTTTAATTCATATCCATGGTTCAGCTAATTTTGGGTGACTTTGGCTGGGTGCCTTTGGTTATTTCTGCCTCTTTGATCATGCATCTAAGTTTCAACTGGATGTCATTTCCATCCTATCATTCTCCTATTCCCTCCTTTTTATATCCATTACATTTTTCTTGGATTTATTACAATCTTACCCTTCACTTTACCCTCTCCTTCCAAGTCCCAGATGTATTTCCTGTATCACCCAGGGTCCAGCACAAAACTTCACACAAAATGCATTGTCTTTCACATTTCTATTACCAGTCTCTCAGACATAGTGTCTCTAATTAACTCATTCAAATTAACATGGATGTACTCCCGATCCAACACTAGCATTGTTTATCTTACTGCTATATTAAACACTAGCTTTCCTGGAAGAAATGACAGATTTTGACATACTAATCATTAGAACATTTAAAAATTTTAAGTGTATTATTATTAATATGCTGATGCACTGCCTGTCCAGTATGTTAATGGTTAAAATAATTTAAGTAATAACATTGACTTTCAAATAATACTGATACTGTAATTGTCTGATGTGTAAGCTGTCTGAGTCATATACTGTCTTTTCAAAGAGTGTCCTCTTAAGAGTCACCAATAACTCACCAAATACCTATATATGTGCTACCATCATGCCCTCCAGGCTCCAATTTTTCCCCCTTTGTGGATATGATTGAATGATCAGTCCTGACTTTGTCTTACCCACTGGAGTTCTTATACAATGGTCAGTTCTAAGCCTTTATGGAACAGCAACACTTAAGGATAGGCATTGGGGTAAGAACATACAAACACAGTTTTGTCCTATAACTGCGAACTAGTCAAATCACTGAAGGCAAAAGGATCAAAGGAGAGGAAAGAGATAGCAGAAATGTCACATATAAAGATATGAGAGAAAGAATACTAACCACAGAGAACAGAACCTAGAGGAAGAAAAAATGTAATATAGAGACTTACATGTGTCATAATGACCCCACCCTGCTCACTCACTCTCAATATCAGTCCCTCTTCCCCTTTCTGCCTCTTCCAAAAATATTTATCTCATAGGAAAATATTCTTGATAGCTCTGGGCTAACCCAGAAAGTTTGTTAGCAGCCTGGTTCTCTTGATTCTTCAGGTAACCACCCATGAACAAAAATCAATCAATCAATCAATCACTGTTTATCTCTGAGAATCAGTATTATCTAGGAAGTTAAACTTTTATATTGCAATCTGTTACAATGGATAGAATCCACAGAGAGAAACGAAAGCTTTCCTCGGTTTTCTATTTACCTTCTTGCAACATCTACATGGAGGAAGAGGAGTCCAAGAAGAGCAGTCATCCTTGTCTTCCTTTCTATTATCTCCATTCCATTCTCCCATAGTAACCAAAGACTTACCTGGGGCACCAGGAATTAAGGGGAGAAGTAATGGTTGGATTTGGATGTAGAACGTGGTTTGAATCTTATTTTTGAAGACTGCTAACATTATTAATTGGTGGTTACCTGTACAGAAAAATGGTTCCCCAAGGTCCCTGTGGCTGTAGACAATTAGGCCTCTGGGATATCTTTTCCTGGTCTCTTTGGGGAAGGAGGTGAGTCCTATATCCCCACATTTTCACTGCAGACAGAAAACAGAATTGTAGCTTCATCTAAGAGTTGAAATTGATGCTGTCGAATTATCTTTGTCCTTTCCGTTTCCCATCTCAGAAGAGAAGACACCATCAAAACTATATTTGACTTTGTTATTCCTGAATCTTGAAGCAAGTAAACTCACTAAACTTAGATGAAGCTTGATCATTTTTGACACTTACCTTTCTTTGGTTTCAAATGAGATCACTCACTACAGTACTTAACATAAGTATTATTGAAGTGGTGTTTGTTTGTTTTTTCACAAATAAGTGCAATTTCTAATAAATTCAAAATGTGAGCTTTTTACCTGTCTTTTAGTCAGTCTCGCCCAGAGGTCATAGTTCTTGCTAATAGAACAATTCAAGTAGAAAATCTTCTTTCACTTTAAGTATCTTATAGTAAGGTGAAGTCAGAGACATTGATTCTTAC